TGAAGCATGCTGAAGTAAATAAAGAGCACCAGCTATGAGTGAAAACACCAAGAAGAGCTAGAGATGGTGAGCTTTTCCCCTAGTACCCCCCCCACACACTTCAAACGGTGTTTTTCATTTATTTCTTTGCCAGCCTGGACCCCATCTTCTTACATTTGCTTCCCAAATAGTTGGAATGCCAGGCATGTGACACCATGCCCGGCTATTGATTAGGAGGAGGGCCCCACTAATTTTTTTCCCAGATTAGCCTTAAACCACAGACCTCCCAGTTCCTGCCTTCTGAGTAGATGTGATCATAGGCATGAGCCACCTTCCAGTGTTTTAAAGCAGAAAAAGTCAGGTTGCTTTTATGAAGAAGATCCAATAGCACATGATAACTTTCAACCTTGGTATTCCTTACAGTAAAGAATCCTGGTTTGTTTGTGAGAAGGAAATCCTTTATTCTTTATACTATACCCTGATTGTCTGTGGACTACCTTCCTTCTTCCCCCACCCACCCCACTTTCTTGTTTATATTATTCCTACCCTCAGTAATGTTGTTATTTAGCTTTGATTTTTTTTAAAAAAAAATACTGCTGAAAGTTTTTCAAAAGCAGGAAAGATCTTCCTTTTCAAATGAGTGCGTGCAGGTAGTGGCTGACACTCAGCATATCTGCAAAGCTGATGCAGAATAGAAGCTGAGCTCCACGGGGTGGGGGTCGGGGGCGCAAAGTCGCATGCTCCTTTGTCCCTGCTACACATAGGAAGTACAGGAAGTGGAGAAGAGGAGGACTGAGGTTTGAGGCCAGCCAAGGCAAAATGTTAGCGAGACTCCATCTGAAACCATCAGCCAGGCATGGGGGCACAGCCTTGTTTGTCCAGTTATAAGGGACGCTGTAGGTAGGAGGATTGCAGTGTTTGTGAGATGCCGTCTGAAAAATGGTCGGAGGGAATGGCTGGAGTGTGCGAATTCCTGCGTGGAAAGGGGAAGCCCGGAGTTCAAACCCAGCAGAACAAACAAAGAAGCAGAAAGCAAAGAACAATGAAAGGAAAGAAGGAAGGAAGGCAGGAAGAAAAAAATGACCGAAGAAATGATAAAAAAGTGAAGCACAAAAGAGAACCGCAAGGTTTGGCAAGGGGGTAAAATGCAGCCTGTAATTACCTCAGCCCAGGCTTCGAGGTCTCCGCACTAGGCAGGAAGGAATTCTTGTGTGGGGATAAATCATTAGACCCCAGAAGCTAGGTTGGTGTGCTGTTCAGTTTTGAATGCAGGTAACAGCCCTATTTATAATGACTTAAGAAAAAAGTGGAAAGGAAGACACTTCCAAAACCTCAGGAAATCTCAGATTTTGTCAGAATGGTTTGAACACAAGGTCTTCCTGCTCCCTCTGGTGGCATGGTGTGTCCACGCCCCTGAGTTTCAGAAGGTGCCCTTGGGTTGAATGGGGTCAGCCCTAAGCACTCTGGGGAAATGATCTACCTTGTTGACTTTGGTGTTCTCCTAGGACGTAGGGATGGTCGATCCCACCTCAAGTTCTATTTTTAGTTGAACAGATAGAATGTTAATCCCCGCTATGTGTTGAACACTGCGATGTGCTGGCTACTTGAAGAGGACAGATACTCAGTTATCTCCACAATGGCAGTTCCAAGCCAGTGCCCTAAGGATCATGGAGGGGGGGGGGGGAGGGAGAGTTGGTCGTGGGGTTTGAACTCTAAGCCTGGGCACTGTCCCTGAACTTTTCAGCTCAAGGCTAGCACTTTATCACTTGAGCCACAGCACCACTTCTGGTTTTCTTTCTTTTTTTGTTTTGACGGTCGTGGGGCTTGAACTCTGGGCCTGAGCGCTGTCCCTCAGCTCTACAGCTCAAGGCTAGCACTCTGCCACTTGAGCCACAGTGCCACTTCCGGTTTTCTGGTGGTTTATTGGAGATAAGAGTTTCCACAGACTTCCTTGCCCAGGCTGGCTTTGAACCGTGATCCTCAGATCTCAGACTCCTAAGTAGCTAGGATTACAGGTGTGAGCCACTGGCACCCGGCTTTTAAATTTTTTTTAAATAAGTTTTTTATTGTGAAAATACTGTACAGAGGTGTTACAGTTACATGAGCAAGGTAATGAGTACATTTCCTATCCAGCATTGTTGGCTCCTCCTTTGTTTTTCCCCAACCATCCCTTCCTCCGTACACTTCTGGTTTTGTGAGTGGTTTATTGGTGATAAGAGTCTCAGAGACTTTCCTGCCTGGGCTGGCTTTGAACCTCTCAGCCTCCTGAGTAGCGAGGATGACAGGTGTGAGCCACCAGGTGCCCCGCTAGGATCATGGAGATTTAAAGCACAGTGATCTCCCTCCCCTCTCATGGGTTACTTTGCTGTATTTAGGGGATGCACATTGTTGGCCAATCACCTACTGAATAAGCTCTTAAGAACCTGATGTTTGAGTTAGCCTTTTTCAGGTTATTTGTAATGGTGTTGCCCTTTAGGAAGGTAGTTGTGAATACAGTGCAGCGTTACCCATGTCATCCGTCAGGGTTCTCACCCACCCCCCTCCACCCCCCCTTCCCTCACTCATCTTAATTTTGCAGGCTATCCATTGGATTCCTGACTGCATTCCCCGCCTTTTCCACCCCTTCTGAGTATCCACTTCCTGGTGTTTTGTTTAGTTGAACTTAGACTTTGCCTTTTAAGGAATTACACTATCTGAGTTCTCCCTTGAGCCTGCCCTGTTTCAGTTAATACACCTGTACACACTTGCCTTCCACCAGTGTATTTACTTACAAATTGTATAATTTCAGTCTAGCTTCCACATCTAAGGGGAAACGTGTGTTTATTGGACCAGACTTACTTCACTTAACATCATTTTTTTCAGGTCTTCCCATTCATCCACAAATGATATACAGTATCATGCTCTCTGATGGATACATAAAGTTTCATTGTGTATATATTATATACATTTTGCTTGATCCATTCATCCATGGAGGGACATCTGGGCTGATTCCACATTGGGTTCATCTTACCTATTTAAAAACTCCAATATTTGAAAATTTGTGCAGAAAAAAATGGAGCGCTTCTTACATATCCCAGGGAGGTAAACAAATGTCTCATCAGAGATTTTATAGAGAAGACTATAGATTACATGAGAGACCACCAGCCCACTGAGCCCCGATGGTCTCTGCCAGCACATTCTCCATCAATGTACATCTCCTGCCATCTTGTGGTCTATAGTGGAGTTGACTTTTCTTGAACATTTCTATGTGTCAGTGAATGACTCTCACATCCAAGAAAAATGGCTTCCTGGGGCTATTATTTCTACACTGCTTCATCCTGATCCTTTTCCACAAAAATATACAGCAGCAATGGACTGATCTAAATGGTGATCTGCTGTTTCATCCCAGAAGTGTATGTGACTGGATCCGTACCTGCTCCCTTCACAGGAAGGGAAGAGTAGTGTCACAGGAAGGAAACCCTACCGCAGGGGACAGCCTGGATATGCTGGATATCCCATCATTTCGTCTGCATCTGCACAGAACACTGCTTCTGTCCTAGTGCTCTTTAATAGAAGATGGAGCATGTGTTGTCTTTGTCTCGTGTTGGCTCTCTCTCAGAGTCTCCTGGAGTCTAGCTACATTTTGTGCCTCTCTGCATCCCACCAGGACCCGGTAATTGCTCTTTTCTATCTTTGCTTCACAAATATTCTTGGCCTCCCTGAATACGTGTGTTTATACACACACACACACACACACACACACACACACACACACACACACACACTGTGTCTGAGAGGCATGCTGATACCCCTTCCCTGAAGCCGCTGCAAAGCATACTACAGTGGGGTTTTCTGTCCTCTAAAGAAATGCTGCTGAGACCATCAACACCCTTGGCAGGCTGTGGTTGTGGCATTGGTAATGAGACCATGAGCAAAAAAATCATAATTTTGTTTCATACTTTCTTGGAGATGCCCTATGATGTATTTTTGAAGGCACTCAAACTAATTTCAACTTTGAAACAAAATGTAATTTCTGTTCAACTCTAAGGGGAATATAGTAAGTGATTTAAAAAAAAACCTAAGGGTTTTATTGGGCATAAATTTTTAGAAGAGTGTATTTGTAGAAGCAAAAAATCCACGGAAACTAAATGCCAGAAACTGGAATTTTTTGTGTATCTATGCTATTTGCTTTTTTTTTAATGTTCAGATTCAAAAAGATTTATGTCATTTAAAACAAGTGAGGGTTTGGCTTATGAGTAATTGGATATCATAAGAACATTTAAAAACACCAAAAATTAGGAGTTCTTTCCCACTTTCGTCACTTCCTTAAAACTGTCTGTTTCTAGCAGGATCTATACTATATTTGACATAATTAAGGAATTCAACTTTTCAAAAAATATCTAGCATATAATATTGGCATAGATGTCAGAAATGTAAAAAATCTAAGAATGCTCAGGTGGTAAGAGAAACAGGCGAGCAATCTCAGGTGAAGGAGAAAGAGAAATCGGAGCCCGACATAAGTGTATTTCTTGCTTTTCTTGTGTGTATAAAAATACCAACGAAACAGACACTTTGAACCACTTCCAGTTACAGAATTGTAACCCTGCAGGTTGAAGCTCATCGTTTGTTCATAGATTTGGTTTAATGCTCTATTTAAAATAGAAGTGAAATGTAAAAGTGAAGAACTGAGGACAAGCTTAACAGGAAGCAATGGAGGAGAGGTCAGGGGGCAGAGGTCAACTCGACAGAGCCTACTTTTAATCAGGTTGATGAGCAGGGACTCCATTATACTGTTAGGCGATTTATGTCAGCCCAAGAATTGTCCACCATGTTGTATTTTTTTTTTAATTTTGAAGCAAGTGTTGAAATTGATGAAACAAAATTGACATTTATTAAAATATACTGATACCCATGAATGATTTTTAATTTAAGATCTTGAACGAATTGAAGTCAAAACAAACTCCTACAGGAAAGCACAACGATACGGACAATCTGGCAGCCTCTGGTGTTCCCCTCACAGAAGAACCAAGAATAACCAAGACTTATTTTATCTCAGTTGTACACATACAGGTAGCTGGGCACAAGAGATTAATGGTTGGGTGTGTGCATCCAAGAATCCTGGCTTTTTTTTCACAGTCCTGGTATTCATCAAAGTAGAAGCAGGGGTTCACTGAAAAAAAAAATTGGTAGTGTTATGTGATATCACAAGCACTAAGGAGAGATCTACTTATCAAGGATAGAAGAGCTCTTTTAATTGCTCCTTATTTAGTTAACATGAGCTGTTTCTCTTTGGATGTAAAATAGGTGATGTAAAATGCTTTCTGTGAAGGAAAACCTAAGATTTCTATCTGGGTACAGAGCAAGTTTCTTCCACAAGCATTTCTTTACTGTAAAGACCACAACCAGCCAGATTAAAGGTGAATAGTTAGTCTGCAACTAAGTGGGGGTAGTCTACAGTGGCCATTTTGAAAGTCAGTCTTCTGAGGTTACTGGAATACGGTAAGATGTACGATGGATGGAAGGCAACAAAGACACCCAGGAACTTTCTAGATCACAGAGAAATCAAAATCTCCACTTCTAGTAGTGTGTTGCTCAAGATTTCCATAATTAAAGAGTTTTAATCTTGTGGAGTAGAGATAGTATGAGATTTCATACATAGACACTCTAATTTTCGCGACTACCAAACAGATCAGTGAGGGAAGGGTTAGCACAGAGGATGTGGTTATACTTTGAGAGGAAGGTTGCGAGGAAACTCGTAGAGGAGTAGAAAGTTGCTTAAAGCCTAATTTAAAAGACTCCTGATTCCCCATCCCCCATACAGGCCCCATGTCCTGGGTCAGCTTTGCGCCATCAGAGATCTGTAGCACTTACTGCATAGCTTGTCTTCGCACTGATCTGGGCAATCTCCACACCAAGAGCCCTTCTTGTAAGGCATGTTTATCATGTCAGGATCATTTCCCCTTAGAGAAGACACAAAGAAAATCATGTCTGGTTAAAACCTTGTCACTGGGAAGTGTAGACATGTATAAATGTTCTGTGTACAGTTAACTTTTAAAACAAATCTTAAAAACAGGCTTGAGGTGTGATATATATTTTAAATGTGCAAATGTGATTAACAAGCATTACCAACAATTACCACGTCATAAAACATTTCTGTTAAGAACTGGGCCCTCGGAAGTGGCACTGTAGCTCAAGTGGTAGAGCACTCGCCTTGAGCTGAAGAGCTGAAGGACAGTGCCCAGGCCCAGAGTTCAAGCCCCACGACCGACCAAAAAAAAAAAAAAAAAAAAAGAACTGAAGCAAGACAGTAAAATACATGTCATTAGCACCCATGAGAACTTAGGCAAACTTATTTTAAAGGTATGGTTATTAACAGATAAATAAGGAAGTCTTGCTGGGTGCCAGCGGCTCCTGCCTGTAATTCTAGAGACACAGGAGGCTGAGATCTGAGGATTGCAGTTTGAAGCCAGAGCAGGCAGGAAAGTTCATGGGATTTACCTCCAACCACAAAAAAAAGAAAAGCCAGAAATGGAGCCTGGGGCTCAAGTGGAAGTGGTTAGAGCTGTATCTTTGAGCAAGAAAGCTCAGGGACAGTGCCAGGCTCTGAGTTCAAGCTCCAGGACATATACACACATTCACACTCACACACACACACACACACACACACACACACACACACACACGTCTTAAATTGTTGGATATTTAACTTCATTGAGTACCATGTCAGGAGAAGCTTGATATGAGTTGTCTTTTGTAGAAATGACTGGTGTGAATAAAATATTAGCACAGATAAAACCACATAAGTGTTGGGGGTAGAATGAATGCACAGATGCTATGAGTCCTCACATCAGTGAGATAAAGATCTATTTAGTTAACAAATAACATAAAATATGAGGTTATGTCTTTATAATTTTTGAGATATCACGTGTCTGCCATTTTATTCCTAGAGATGTGCCGACCTTGAAAATGTTGAAATATTCATTTCTGGGGCCTAATGCATGGCAGCCTAGTTCTTTTAGGAACCTATAGGCGGAAGACAGATGGAGACTGGCTCTTACATACTCATGGCAATAGTGGCAAATGTAGATGTACTGAGGCTCCCTGTTTTTGCGGCACGAGGCAACTCCACAGCCAATAAGATAAGAGGACGCCCAGACCAGCTGGAAAGAGAAGGGACAGGGTCACTCATACACCGCAATGCCCATGTCATTCATCATCCACGGTGGAGAGGAGCCACGCTCTCTCTAAGGCTTGCTTCCTGAATGACATCTCCAAAACACACAGAAACAAGAGTCCACAAATACAAGTCTAGAAAGCCAAGTTGTAAATTCTCCTTAGGAAGGAAACACAAGGGCTTCTTGTGGACTCACTCCGAGGCTCAATCACTCTGCCCGTCAATCACTCTGCCCTGTCAATCACTCTGTCCTGTCAAACCTGTACTGCAAATCCATCATGGGGGAAGGCTGCTTGGTGCTTATAAGAAAGCCAAAGCAGAGCCCAGAACTTGCCCTTTGGTCTGGGAAGAGGAAAATGTAGGACAATTCTGATCATCTGGAACTTTTGGTAGAGATCAAAAGCAGAATGGCATTTGTCAGAGGGTTAAGGAGGGGAGAGGTGAAGAAGTGTGTAATGAGAACAGAGCTTGTTGCGTGAGACATGTTCTAGGAGAGTCATGACATTGTAAGGTACTCGGCATGGTGGGATGTTTTGCTGCAGTGTGGAAATGTTTAGAATGTGCTATATATACTTTGCCACAGTAAAATAAATCTGGGGATGGACGCACCTGACTGACAAGGTGCTATTATTTCCCCTCTTTGTAATTTTTTTCCAATTAATTTACAAACAAGACCAATCTTTGATTCCTCTCCGCCCTCCCCCCGCCCCCCTTGGCTAAAGAAGAAAGCATCCTCTCTAAGTTGCCATTTTCCTTCCTTTCAGAGTCGAAGGAGCCACAGATGATGAGTTGCTTCTTTCTTACCTCCTGTGCATGTCCCCTGTTCCCTGCGTTACCTGTTACCTGTGTGTAATGATTTGTTTTTACGTCGTCATCCATGGTCCACTCCCCGTATTTGAAATGTCTGGACTCGTTGTACCAGGTTTCAATGACCTCCGACCACGAGATAGGAAAAGGCTCCATGTGCACGTTTTCCCCACAGAAGGTATCTGAAAGGATCAGAGGCCAGGCTCACCAGTGGGAAATGCCCTATGGAAAGAGGGCCCTCACTTGCACCACCCAGACAACATCTTGCAAGAGGAGGTGAGCTGAGTTGTGACCCTGCTGACCATGAGCCTTGTCCTTGATGACATGTTGTGGCCAGGTTCGGTGACAAGCGAACAGTAAGCAAGGGCATGTGAGCCTGGAACTGGTCTCCATCCACTGGGCGGTGAGTGTAACTGTCAGCGAGCAGTTAGCTTGAGCCATAGGGACCCCAGCTTGAATGCAGCCACGGGCTGGGTGGGAATCTGCAAGGACCTTGGGATCCATCCTCTCATGGCAACAAGACCTGGCACTGCCCATCACCCAGGGTGGCGGGGAAGGCCTGTGTTACTCCTCGATCATTTATCAGCTGCCTCCAGGTGGAGATTCATTAGGACTCTTTATACTACTTTAAGGTGTTCTCGAGATGTTATTGATGTCTCCCGGGCAGCAAGTACGATTATCGTACAGAAATCACCTCGAATGCACATGCAGAAAGATCGTCTGAGAGTGTTTTGGACAAACTCTCTGTCCTGCCAGGGTTCCACAGCTCCTTTCCAAAGGGAATTCCCACAGGGACGCAGCGGGTGGGCGCCGCTGAGGCTGGAGATGCAGTGCTGGGGTGAAGAGGACGGATGTACCGCTGCCCTGCCTGTGTGTGTCAGGACCTGGGATCTGGGATCAGAGCCCGGAGCTTCCTAACTGCAGCAGGTGAGAGGCGCCAGGGACCTCACCTGCCCTTGCCAGGAGAATCATACCCAGTTTTCTTTTCCTTTATGAGCTGTCACGGACTTCTTATTTTATTGTAACAAGCTGGTTTTAGTCAGGTGGAAGGTTTGGTCCCGGGTTGGGGGCTGTCTGGATGTGGTGGGGACCTGGGGGGGTCTAGTGAAAGAGTTGGGTGACTGGGGAGTGTCCCGTCTCCTGGGACTCCCTGGGCCTTTGTGTCCCTCCCTCTGTCCCCTCCCCTCCCTCCTCCCTCCCCTTCTGCCTCCTCCTCCCTCTCCCCCTCTTCCTGTCCTCTCCTCCCCTCCTCCTTTCTCCTTCCTCTCCTCATCTTCCTCTCTTCCTTGCCTTCCCCCTCTCTCCTCCTTCTTCTCTTCCCTTCCCCTCCCATCCTTTCTTCCTTCCCCCCTCCCCTCTCCTCTTCCTCTCCCCTCCTCCCTCCTCTCCCTCGCTCTTCTTCCTTCCATCCTCCTTTCTCCCTCCCCTTCTCTCCCCCTCCCTCTCCCCTCTCTTTTCTTCCCTTTCTCTCACCCCCTCCACCCCAGGCCCAGCAAGTCGGGTTATTCTAGGTCACCTCGCTCCTAAAGCAATGGTGGCAGCCAACGATGGCCCTGTGAAATCATGGGCCAAAAGGAAGCTTTCCGCGTGTGAGTTGCTTCCTTCCAACATGTTGCCCCGTGACCCCTGGCCCGCCCCCTGACCCCGGGCGCGCCCCCTGACCCCGGGCCCGCCCCCTGACCCCGGGTGCGCCCCCTGACCCCGGGCGCCCCCCGACCCCGGGCTCGCCCCCTGACCCCGGGCCCGCCCCCTGACCCCGGGCTCGCCCCCTGACCCCGGGCGCGCCCCCGACCCCGGGCTCGCCCCCTGACCCCGGGCGCACCCCCTGACCCCGGGCGCGCCCCCTGACCCCCGGCGCGCCCCCTGACCCCGGGCGCGCCCCCGACCCCGGGCGCGCCCCCGACCCCCGGGCGCACCCCCTGCCCCCGGGCGCGCCCCCTGACCCCCGGCGCGCCCCTGACCCCGGGCCCGCCCCCTGACCCCGGGCCTGCTCACTGGACAGCCTTCTCTCCATCGGGTCGCTCTCAGCCAGGTCGCAGTACTGCGCCAGGATCCGCGCGTTGTAGGCGGCTTCGGGGCTCCACTGCTGGAGAAGCAACGGCGCGGCATGCGGCCCCGGCCGCCCAGGCGGGCCTCCTGTGCTCGGCACAGCCCAAGGCTGGGAACACCCTCAGTCGTAACTTAGCTCATGGTCGCCAGCGACCGCTTCCTTCTCAAATGCAGCGAGGAATTGAACCGAGGCTTCCAGAGGACAGCAGGGAGCGGAAGGAAGCCCAGCCATTCTGAGCTGAGCGTGCGTGCAGCGACCCACCACTCCTTCCCAGAGCCTTCGCTCAAAGGGGTTAGCGTGATGTCCCGTGCAAGCCAGTTGTGATATATTCAATCCACAGACCCAGGAAGCGCGAGGCAGCTATGAGCAGAAGCAGCGAGAGTGCCACATAGCTGTGTATAGTGTGGTGTCTATGGAATATTCGCTATGCGTATAGCATCTGTGTATAGTAGAATCCCCAAGTCTGTATTCTAACACCACAGCGTCCATCACTGCTCTCCTGTCTCTCCACCCATCCTCTCCTGCAATAGCTACACAAGGAAGGGTCTGCCCACTCCCCTGTCTAACATGAGGTAAGGGAAGGACAGAAGGAGGCTTTGAAGGGCCAGACGACCAGTGGGTGACAGGAAGAGGAGGCAGAGCACCTGACCAGGCTCCAAGGTGGTCGTGTGCACAGAGTGGAAGCCTTGGCAGGCCACAGCTCATCAGCAGCCGCTCCGCAAGTTGTCAGACTGACAACCGAGCTGGGCCTTCTCAGGCCTGGCTTCCGCGCACACCGCTGCCCCGATGGGGCGTAGAGCACAGGACCCCAGAACGTGGTGTCTAAGTGATTCCCCCAGCAGGCGGGGAGCACTGCTTCCTGCACAGCATGGAAGGATGTGTAAATAGCACTTATGTGTCTATACCCCCATCTGGTGGAAGTTTTTAAGAACTGCTCTTCGGCTTGATGACTGGTGTCAAAAGACAATTTACTAGCTTGAGCAAAGGTTTTACTTGCTTCGAACAAGAGAAAGAGGTAATTTAGTTGTGTGGTGTGTGTGTGTGTGTGTGTGTGTGTGTGTGTGTGTGTGTAACTGAACAAGCAGAGATGGTCAGTGCATAAGATAAGAACACACTGAGAATTCTATTTTACTATTCTATTTTACTCACTAGAGAGGAAAACTTGACTTGCCTAGTGTGCTCATTGTAGCAAATACGCAGAACTAGAACTTACCCAGCTGTCCTCTGCCGATGCTTGCAGTGGGTTCTGAGATGCCCTCGGGTTTGCTTGTGCAGTGAGGATTTATTCCCAGAAGGTGGGAGCCACAGATGCCTGTACTATCTCCTTTTCCTCATGCTTGCTCTCAGCACCGATCGCCTCCCTTCTGTGTGTGCGGAGCCCACATCCAAAAACGGGTTCATGCAAAAACCAGACTACCTTGGTCCAACGTGCAAAGTAAGGTCTCTGGCTTCAGATACCATGTTTTCCCTTCAGTTCTCAAATGTGGTTTTTATTTCCTAGCTGCACTGTTTGCTGTCTGACGACATATGGAAGTTGTTCTGACTTATTGGTAATTTCAGCCTTAAAAAGTCTCCTTCTGTTCTCCACTTATTTATACATAGAAGCTCCCTGGTAGCATCACTGTAGGAGAGGATGGGCAAAGAGATGTGTGGAGCTACTGTCAGGTCCTGGCAATGGCATTCATGTGATTTTAGAGAGTAGCTATCACCAAGAGAGGAAGCAGGAGGAAAAGGAAGCTTTATATACTGTTAGGGGGATGGAAATGAGCCCAAGCACCATGGAAATCAGTGTGGAGGTTACAGGAAGTTAGACCTATCTTCTGATCCTTGGACCTATGTCCCCAGGACCATAAAACAATACACAAGAGAGATAATTGCATATCTGTGTTTCTTACAGCCTTGTTCACAATAGCCAAACTCTGAAATAGTTCAAGGAGTGTGACAATCACTGAGTGGATGAAGAATATACACACACACACACACACACGCACGCACGCATGCACACACACACTCTCACACATACACTATGAACTATAAATCATAAAAAATGAAATCATGTAATTTTCAGGAAAATAGATGGAGCTGTAAGTTGTGATAAGGCAGTCATAATCCTGGGGTCACGGTTCCTCACTTGTTTGTGGAGTATGGACCACCAAACAAGGACAATGTAAGAACATGATGAGATGTCAATGTAAAATGGGGACTCCTCTTGTGTGGACCAGTGAGAGGCAAAGAGAGAAAGGGGCAGGATCCCAAGGAGCAAAGAAGAACAAAGGATGTCTCCTGTGTGTAAGGTTGTGGAAGCATGTGTGTACAGACATCCGTCCGTATACGAAGATGGGATCATGAAACACTGCCGTTTCCAAATGAGGGGAAGAGGAGATACAGGAGGGAGATGGGAATAAGAATGCAGGGTGAGCTTGCTCACCAGAGTGTCCCAGGACTGCCTAACAATCACCCTGCAGGTGTTGCAGCCGCCATCGGACGCGCCGCCGTCCATCTTACCATCTTCAGCATGTTTCTGGCCGGAGGATGGACATTTCTCCTGAATCTGTTGTGAACGTTGACGATTTCATCCTGTACTTCTTGTGTGGCCGTGGTGAGTTGCATATAGAGGGCTTGAGCTGCTTTGGGCTACCAAAGAACATTAAGAATGCCTGTTAACCCTGTCACCTATCAGACGTTACTTGCACACGTATAGACAGTGGGCATCGGGTGTCCACATTGAATTAGCACTCAGGTGCAGCATTCTTGAAGTTTCATAATCCCTCAGATTCCATTTTTCCCATGGTGGGTTAAGGATTTCTGAATGGCAGTCTGTGATTTGCGCTTTCACATTTATAATTTACACTTTGGGACACAATTTCTGTGGGACATGTGTTGAAATTACCGTATGGATTGATGGTGCATTCTCTATAAAATTTCCCCTGTACCCCAGACCTTGCTCTCTTCCCTTCCCACAAAAGCCTCGAACACTTGTCTAATGGTATATTTCTTGAAGAACTGACACTAAGAGATTTACTTCTTTTATTCCATCATCTATCTTTTCATAATTCACTCTCCGGGATTATTGGGTAGTGAACAGCTTGTCAGTCTTTGTAGTGAAGGATGACTGACAGTACATGAATACCGCAGCACCATTTCAGTAGCCTAGAGCAGGTAGATCCTCTGTAATGCCTCTCAATTTTTACAATTTTTACTTTTCGTACCTGGCCTGTAGGAAAACACATACACACACACTCACACACACACACACACACTCACACACACACTTGTTTTCTATACCAAAGCTATGGTGTTTATCTCACCACTCATCATAAAAGTAGCTGGGATATACTAAAGTATGAATTATCTCTTTATATCATTGATGGATGCCACTTAAATATCCTACTGTTTATTACATCAATGAGAATTTTGCTCCTGCTTTGTGATCATTGAAGTTCTTATTTTAAGTACAATTTATTACTTTATTATTCATTTAGTATTGTTACTATTATTATTATTCTTTAGTGGCACTGGGGACCACACCCAGGGCCTCACACATATTGTCCGAGAGTTCTAGCACTAAGCGTCATATATTGATCCTACGGCTAACTGACCCTTGCACCTTTCTCTTCAGTTAGTATTGCCCCAGTTTGTGTTTAGCGTTGATAGATTAAGTTCTCATTCATAATCACAAATTATGTCTACACTATATTATTATATCATATTATAACCAAAAATATTATTATATTCTCCAGTGGAATATTGATGAGTTTCCCTATCTAGAAACAAAACAAAGTTTATTTTCCCTTCCTATTTAGCCAAGGAAAATGCATGGATACATTGTAAGGAAATAGCTTTTTAACATCTGTTTTTCAGTTTACTCTTTCTTCCCTCCCTCCCTCCCTTCTTTCCTTCCTTCCTCCATGTTACTGGGGCTTGACCTTAAGTCCTTTAGCTCTGGCTTTGCTTTTTCTCTCAAGGCTTATGTTCTACCACTTGAACCATACCTCCATTTCCATCTTTTTGCAGGTTAATTGGAGATGAGTCTCATGGACTTTTCTGCCTAGACTGGCTTCGAACTGTGATCTTCATATCTCAGTCTCCTTAGCAGCTAGAATTACAGGAGTGAAACACCAGCACTCAGCTTTCTCCCCCTCCCATTACTCAAGAAAATGGAATTGACATGGGCCCCTAGGATTAAGTGGAATAAGGTTAAGTTGAAGCCCTGCCACACCCCCGTTATTTAGCCTCGACCAGGTGCCAAGCTGCCCTACCTTTGGGTTCATTCCATTGTAATATGACATTAATAATAGTTCTTGCTTGATAGTTATTGTGGGAGGCAGCTGAGTGATTGGTGTAGCCCCTTGATCGCTTGCCTCTGTCCGTGTTTTGGTAAATGGTTATTTATTATCCTTAACTACAAGGCAGTTTTGTGCCCCAGAGTCCTTACATACCATGAGGACTCGTGCATCCAGAAACCCAGGCACAGCAGAGAGAAACAAGATGTATTTCACTGACATCCCTGCAGAGAAACGCAAAAAGACAAAAGGCGGTATGTTATTCTCAGCTCACGAAATAATGTGTTCAGACAAACTTTTGAACCACGTTTACTTGTGTTCACACTTTCTGCCAGGAGGGGGCTACAGAATTCGGTCCTCTAGGTCAGTTATGGGGCTCCAGGAAAGCATTCAGAAATACGATGGAAAGGATAGTGGACTCACTCAAACATGAACATCTCAGTCCCCGGAATCTTTCTATTGGGTCGAGAGCTATTGCTTAACAGAGGGTAAAGCAGGGAGATTATCCCGTGCTATCTGGGCGGCTGAAGGTCATCACAAGGTTATTGAATGTGGAAGAGAGAGCTAGAGGAGGCCATGTGGAATGTGACAGGCTCCACCAGCCAGCGCTGGCTTTGAAGAGAGAGGAAAGAAATACAACAAGGAAAAGTCAACAGAGTCTCCATTGGTTTTTACAAGGGCACCGTGTTTGGACTCCTGACTTCCACACCCATGTATGACAGTGAATTTGTAGTCATTTGAGACACTAGACTCATATAACTCATTATACTTCAAGAGAAAAATGCAGAGAAGAAATCCTCAAGATGAGATGAAAATTCTTCTTGTCCATAGAAGAGATATGTGGTGTTGCTAATATGTATCTGTGTATTCCAGCTGAGATATTCTGAGATGTCTGATGGTTCTACTAGGAGTAGTTGTCAAGCAGCCAGATAAACCAGTGCTAATTCATCTTCTTTATTTTTATCTGATATAGTTGGCTAGCTCTAGGGTTATTAATGATAATATTAATAGGGTTTTTAAATTTCATTGTCACCTTTTTACATTCTATCAAGTTTCTTTCTGATTTTGTCCTGGGGAAAACAAGAGACTACAAATGTGGGTTTAGTTTTCCAGGACTAAATTTTTTTAAGAGAAAGGTAAATATTTTTTGCAGAATGGAACAGTGCAGAGTGCTCATGACTTTTCACCCAGGGCCACTTAGTCTCTAGCACTCTCTGACACTAGGAAACATGTTTATTATGAGGGAAACCATAAATCAATTCTGAGAACAAACAAATGCCAACAATCACATTTCTACCCTCCTCCCCTTATTTCTTTCTTTCCCTCTGTCTCTGTCTGCAGAGACATATATGCACACTCAAAGACTGGTAAAATGTGTATTTCCTTCTCTTACCTAATCACAAAATCTAGGAAAACAAATAATTTAATCCAATTTAATTTAAAAAGCAAAATCAAAAACGTTTTGAGGTGGGTATTGGTGGCTCATACCTGTAATCCTAACTACTCAGGAGGCTGAGTTCTAGTTCTGAGGATCCCAGTTCAAAGCCATGAGGACAGGAAAGTCTGTGAGACTCTTATCTCAATTAATCACCAGAAAACTAGAAGTGGAGCTGTGGCCCAAAGTAGTAGAGCACTAGCCTCGACTGAAAAAGCTCTGATACAGCACCCAGGCCCTGCGTCCAAGCCCCATGACTGACCAAAAAACAAGGGTTTGAAATATAGTAGAGGTTGTTAATAGACATGCACAATGCCACAGTAGTTCGATAGAACACATATATTCACACCCATAGATTATGCTTTATTCACCTATGAAAGGTATATATGTATGTGTGTATTTAAATGTGGATATTTTAAATGCAGATCTATCTTTCCTCTGTCACAACTAGACAGAAAACTTGGTGTTTTATAATATGAAGAGCTTAAAGAAGTTGATATAATATTATGGAGAGGTGACTTCGAACCTTCCAAAAATGGAAAGAAAACCTAGACACTTCCATTACCTACTGAGATTGGCTGTAGCACAATTTGTGCCATCTGGAATTAGACTGCCTAAGCGTGTTTGATTCACCCCCAATAACGTGTTAATTGGAATAGGCAGGAAAGCTGAAGAAAATCTGCTGAGAGAGGAACTTCGGATTTGTGAGCCCAAGTTCTGACTTCGGGATTATGGACGAGGTCCTCATGGAACATAGGACACAGACAAAGCAGGAAGGCCATCTTTGTCCACTTACAGCTCAAGTAGCCACTCGAGGTAACAAACACAAGGTGGTGAAGTTAATAGTTAGACCCCTTTTGGAAGTATTGTCAGCATAGGAGAATGAAAATGGAATCCAGAATGTCCTGGGTATTATCTGCTGGCCCAACAGAGGAGATACCAACTCTGAGAGTCTGGATGTGTCCAGAGGACATAGCTCAGACATGGGGTCATGGAATGAGGCCATCAATGGCGAGGGGTGTGGTAATCAGAAAACCCTGCTGAGATTGGAGCGGAGTTTGGAACTGCAGAGTGGGCTGGAGAGGCTGAATAGAAGCCGAAGGGATGGAAGCGTATGTGGTCGCGGGTCAGCCTGAGGTTTGCTCACTGGAGCCTGGGGACAGGCTGTGTCCCGGGACCTGAGCAGGACTGTGCCTTCAGGATGGGCTAACTGGGCCTCCCTGGAGTGGAGACTGCGAGTCGGAACAGTAACAGTAAGAAGGCCGTTTAACCCGCATGTGGTGGAAGGTACAGGGGACCCCAACGGAAGCCAGCTCTTCTGGAGAGGTGGATCGCAGGGGGAACAATCATAAGCATCCCTCACTGGGGTATCAGTTCCTTTCTAACCCAAGTGGTTCATGCACTACATGCAATTTTAGCAGTTTTAATAACGTCAGAAAGTCGAGTTGCTTGGCTCTTTCCTGTAGCCTTTGTCTTCCTTGCTGACAAATAGACTTGAACCATGGAAAGCTGAAGTTTTTCTTTGAGTTTTGTGGGTGGGATGAAAGATCAAGGTGGAGGGGAACAACCGAGGGGGAAGAGTCAGGTCCTGCCCCGTGACAGCCCCGTGGAATGCGTTTCATACATTAACTTGTCAGACTGGGGCCTTCTCAGAAAGCACCTGGGAACAGAAGAGTCTGTTCCCAGCCTTCCTCAGAGCCTTGACAAGAATGAACTGTACGGAGACATGTTTTCCATCCCTAATCTTCTTTGCCTGAGTGAATCAAATAGGACTGGATGGATCTATTATAGAAAAGCACACAAACTGAAGGCGTTGCGCTTGATCGGTTTGTGTTTACAGATCCATGCTGAGGTCAATCTGTGTACAGAGGATTTATGATGCCCCCAAAAGGTTCCCCGTGACCCCGTTTGCCATAGAGCCCCTGATCATGACTGCTGTGCTGGTTTTCATAAATGTGGCATTGGGGTTTGAACTCCAGGCCTCATACTAGCTAGGCAGGAGCTCTACCACTTGAGACATGCTTCTTATCCTTTTTGCTTTCGTTATTTTTGCATAGGATCTCACTTTTTGCCTGGGCCAGCCTGAACCATGATGTTCCTTCTTACCTTTCCCAGGTAGCTGTCTTGTCAGGTTCTGGGTACCACAGTTAGCTTTTTATTAGTTGATAGGGGGGGAGGGGACAATAATAACTTTCTGCCCAGGCTGAGCTGGACCTACATCTTCCTGATTTTACCCTCTGGATTGGCTTAGATTAAAGATGTGAACCACCATGCCCTGCTAGGCTATCAGTGTTACATACATACATACACGTGCACACATACAGACACACACACACACACACACACACACACACATTATTTTTCTTTAGTAGGAGCAGAACAGAACACAGGGAGAGATTCACACCTACCATTATCTGATTCATGACAGGTTGTGTAAGGAAATTCAGTTGTAAGGAAAGGTCAGTATTATATCTAATAGAGAAAACAGGGAATTTGAGCCTTCCCTCTATAATAAAATAAATATAAATAAAAATTAAATAAATTCTATAAACAATTACTCTATAATTCTATAAATAAAAATTATCCTTTTCCTAGAAATTATCCTTTTCATCCACAGAGCCAAATGTGAAAACTATCATGTTTAAATGACATAGTGACTTTAGATAGTCATTTGGAGTGTCCAGCCATATTTCTTCTAAGGAAATTCCTTGGCTTCTTCCTCTTACATTTGTCTCACTTGAGCCAGTAAGCTCCATTGCATACATTTTAAGCTGTAAAAATTAGATGCATATTTACATCAAATCTAAAAATTTTAGTAATGTATATTACATAAAATACACATGATACTTAAGATGTAAGAGATACACTGTATCTATCACTGAAGGTAAGATTTTCCAGGGGCAGAGTCCACGAGAATGACGAGAGAATCAAAGTATTAATGGAACAGATGGCAATTGTCAAGAGCTTGAGGAAGAAAGGAGAGTCCAGGGAGAAACGTTATTAAAGGAGCTAGTAGCCTGGGACTAAGTGGAGGCACTAAAGCATGTGACTGGACTAAGGAATCCCAGACTTAGCATCAAGACAATGGAGCCTGGAAGAAAGGTAGGAGATGGAGAGGTGACGATGCTGCAGAAGGAAGTTTGGGCAGTTGAACCTGCCCCCTTGCTCCCTGTCATTGTCTAGAAAAACCTTCCATCGTATTATTTATGGTATGTCCAGTGAGTCACCGGGGTCAAATTTGAAGCCATTCTGCCTTCAGATAAAAAAGAAAGGTAGGAACGCTTCCCATTCAAGAGTGACACCCTCCTGCTCGTTATTCTATTTTAATATAACAGCATTAAAGTAGCAAAAAATGGAAGAGAGGGAAATATTACTGCTGTCCATGCAGGGAAGTAAGAGCAAAAGCCTTTCGGCTGGTTATCAGAACACTGGCTTCCAACAGATAATGGAATAAAAGATGATCACTTCAGCACTGTCAGATTTACATAACCCTATCGATAGTCCATTCCACATGCAAGATGTTTATCCTGAGCCTTGCACCCAGAAGATCATGAGAATGGCCTCAGCAAGTAGCATTTCTCTGCATGTGTAGAGTACGTCTTGGGAAGAAATCCATGCTTGCCAGTGATGAGATTGCCTGAGTGTCTTTGGCAGAGAATCTCCTGTTGAGCCTTGTAGCAGTGGCACTGCGGGCTCACCTCTGAATCTCCCTTTAAAATGAAGCAATCTAGCAGAGGTGCTAAGGAACTCACCCAAGTCCATCGCCAAAGTCCAGAGCGCGGAGAAACGGCGTCCTGCAAAAGACCCAGACGTTGGTCTGTATTGTGCGCTCTGGTGTGAAATGACTCGTCATGAAAAAGATTTGCTCAATGAGGCAGGCAGTACAAAGGAGCTGTTCAGAGCAGATCAGGACACTTACAAAGCACAGAGGTCATGCATGTCAGATGCTCAATGGACACCTAGAGCCTGGGACACTCATGCATCATGGTTATGCGTATGTTTTCTAGCTTGTGTTCTAGACAACGTCTAGAATATGCAGTGGTGTTAAACTTCTCCATGGGGTGTACGCTACAAAGACCAGCTGCACCATTCAACCAGACAACGGGAACCGGGAGCAGCGAAGAAAAATAAAAAGTTGAAGATTCTTTCAGCTTTTTTTCAATCATGCATACATGTGTTGACTAGTTCTAGTAATTGGAGATGTTAATGTGAGCCAGGCCCTCTTCTAGATACTCTGGCTGGATAGAATAACTGCTAATGTGAGCCAGGCCCTCTTCTAGATACTCTGGCTGGATAGAATAACTGCTAGTGTGAGCCAGGCCCTCTTCTAGATACTCTGGCTAGATAGAATAACTGCATGTATGTATAACTGAAATTTAGTGCTGAACACATGGTTTGCCAGACATTTTTGAGAGGTTCTAGGATTTAAAAGAAAAAGAAAACAGATTGCTTTCCTAAGGAACTTATGTTTCACCAAAAAACTCTCTGTGATATGGGAACATTCTAACAGAGAGTTCCAGAAGTTATGTGGAGGGAGCTAACTATCTTGGTAATTCTGGAAATAGAGAATAGTATCATACTAAATATGAAACAGTGACAACATTAAATATCCAAAATTTCATTTGAGTTGGGTGGGATGAAGTAAGTAGAACTTTTGAAAGCAAAAGGAACAATCATACATGAAAGTATGAAAATCATCCTGGGTCTAGTCAGATGTTTTAATTCCTGAAAACTTGGCATTTATATTTGTGTATGTGCACTATACTTCTCTTTCTCTAGCTTGCTGATATCTCCATTGTTGATTATCTTTGGAGAAAACAAGTCAAGATTTAATAAAAGTATTTCCCTCTTATTTCTCCCCAAAAATGTCCCTTGAATATCTAAAAGAGAAGAAACTAATTATGAAGAATATAGTCATTTTCTGTTAGCACTGAGGTGGGTATTGAAAAGATTAAAATGTGAAGAAAGACTGAAACTTTTAAGACAGAATTTTCTGGCTTTGATAGTTTTGTAGTGAATGCCTAGAACACAGTCAGCAAAAAAGTAAAACTAATTACTTCTTTAAAAAACTTACTTGTTGGCTTATGGGTGAGATAATTGGGAGAAAGGAGAGGAGAAAAATATTAAGTTGAACTTGAGTCAAAGCTGATCTGTAAATTCTTTAACATTTTGGAGACATCATTTCACATGATCTCTGTCATAAAACTCTCAAATTACTGAGCAACTTGTCCCATACTGTAAGAAGAAAACTGGAAAAGAATTCTGTTTCCTCAACAGACCAGCATGGTTTATATATTGGAAATGTATGATTGTCATTTATTTCTTGCTACACTGCTGTTCATAAGGAAGTGTGTTGATTCAACAGGGAGTTGACTGTTTATGGAAACTTAATTGCTTTGGTTTTATCTGTTGGTCCTGTCAATCTCTGGCATTGCTATACCCAACACAATGCTGTCTGTATTTATATCAATGATGACTTCATATAGAGTTGCTATCCAGCTTTAAATATGGTCTTAAAAGATTTTGGGAAGTGTTGGAAAGCAGAGAGTAATTTGATTTGCATGTGAGCCCCTAAACATGGGTGCCATTTGGCTGCTTC